GGTTTAGTGGTTTAGGGGTTTAGTGGCTTAGGGGTTTAGGGGTTTAGGGTTTAGGGGCTTGGGGTTTAGGGGTTTGGGGTTTGGGGGTTGACATGAGCCCTAAACTCTAAAGCCCTAGACCGTAATGCCTGCGCCTACACCCTAAAGTCGAAGCCCAAAAAGCTAAACCTTGAAACCTGAACGCAACGCAAAACCTGAGCCGTGAACCCTACAACCTAAAATTTGAAATCCAAACTTTATAAGCCCCTAAACCCAAAACATAAACGTCAGAGCCTAAACCCCAAACCCTGTAGTACACATTGAAACCCGAAAAAAACCTAACCTTAACACCTACATGCACCCCCAGCCCTGAACCGAAACCTCAACACCTCATTAACCCCAAACCCGGTAACCCGAAACCCCAAGCCCTAAGACCCTAAACCCTAAAGCCCTAAGCCCTAAACCCCCAAAACCCTAAAGCCCCCAAACCCTAAACCCCGAAAGCCCTAAACCCGAAGCCCTAAACCCCGAAAACCCCATAAACCCTAAAAGTAAAACCCAAACCTTAACGGTTTAGGGTTTAGGGTTTAGGGAAGCCTAAACCCTAAACCCTAAACCCTAACCCGCAAGCCGGGAATCTTGCCTTCCGCTCGTTGAGGCCTCCGGTTGGCAGATCAAGACCTGGGTCTGAGGATAAGATCATGTTTGTTTTTTTGAAAAGTGCGGTAATGTAGGGGCCTTGATCGGGTTTTAAGGTTCCTTCAAAGGGATTCTTAAAGGGCTCTATATTAAGGGATCTATAGTAGGGTCAAATATTCGGGGCCTTAATAATTAGAATAGGGTTTCGGGGTACATTATACTATAACTATGATTAAGAAGCCTCCAAAAAAGTATAGGTAATAATTGCCCTATATTAGCCTCTTCCATCCGCCTGAAGCTTGCTCAATATTGAGCTTGCACGTCGACGTGACATGTCACAGCCCACAAAAAGGCCTCATCCCTGATCAGCTCCGCATCGACACCTCCAGAGACTCCAATAATTGAGGAATATACTTAAATCACATTACGTAATTATGGAATATACCTTAAATCATATTAGGGATCCTACTATAATTCAAGGTATATTCCGTAATTAAGGAATATACCTTGAATCATATTTGG